TGTCTCATGCTGCACCTTGAACGAAAAAAAAAAGAAAGAAAGAAAGAAAGAAACTTTGCAGTGGAAATCTGCATTAGCAAAAATGTAAGCACAGAAATCTCTTACTTTCGTAATTCTCAATTGATATTTCCTTGTAGCCTAACCTTAGAGATTCAGACATCTGGAGGGAGAAAGACTTCGCGCGTTCTGCAGAGAACATTTTGTTCTGACCTTAAAAGCAAATGTGGAGTAATTCAGGACTGAAATGCGAGACGAATTTAATTACAGTTGTCTCCTCCCGGCGGCATCTATTGAAGAGGGCATTACGACCATGGACTTAGTTTCATCTTCATCTGTGAAAAGACGCACATGAATGAATGTGCCAATACTGTGAGCTAAGTCGGATATTTATTTTAAAGATAAGTTAAGTAAAAGGGGACTTCGCGCTTAATTTAAATGACTTTTTCGCAATTACTCCGTGGCCTGCTATCATTTAGCACAGGTTCATAAACAGAAAAAAAAAGCACTTTCGTATTGCCCCTTTCTTAAGGATCTAAGCAGCACTGAATGAAGATTTTAAATGAAATTACTACTTGGCGAGACTTCAGGTTCTTACGGCGGCTAGTATGAAGTTGACTGGCTTCTGGCATGTTGTGCAATGTAGTCTGATGAAGTAGACAGCAAGCTCCTCTGAAACGTCAGTAAACTTTTCCCAAACTACAAGGAACAATATCCCAGGTGACGGATATTATCTTACGACTTCTTTCATCCAATGTTCAATTTGCATGGTGATGTAAATAAATATAAGTTAATAATTATCGGACTCAATTATAATGCTTAATGGTACATTTGTTTTCCCACAGTTGTTGAGTGGCGCTGTACCGGAGGATTGCCTTTGTAACGACAAAGAAATTTTCTTTTCCGAGGATTTCTTGGGTCCAATGCGTTGACTCTACACTTGACAGATTCTTATAATAAAGTTAGTTGAATCTGGACGTACACCAGCATTCAGCTGCCAGGTTTATTTGAGACTACACCATAGAACTACAAAAACGAAACGTGCTCTAGAAATTTATTCCTTAGGTAATTACACTGTAAATACGACTTTGTAAATGGCGAGTTCTCGAACTGTATTAAACACACAGAGTTGCTCTTTCTACACGTAACAAAAGCATGTTTCCTTGCTAATGTTATTGGAAGGTTTTAAACTGTAGACGAATTACGTGCGATATAGGAATCCTTTCATCGAAATGAGCTTCTGAGTAATAATTAACAAATGAAAGAGGATTCCTCTCTATAAAACACGACAGACCTTTTAGTGCAAAGAGATTTGGAGAAAGGAACCTAACACGAGATAAGTAAATGTTAATCATTACAGCCGATTAACTGATACAATAAAATTAATTCTTTGTACTTAAAGCAATTCATGGTAAACAAAATGGTTAAAGACACGGGCGAGTTTATTTGACAACTGCAAATGTTGGTCTAGAAAGCAACTCAGTGGATCCGATAACATGCGGTGGGACTTTTGCCCTCGACTCTAACACATTATGTTCATTTCTAAGTCATATGACAGCCATGTCGGTATTGCTGAAGTCAAGGACTTCCAAGAGCAAGCCATGCAGAAAATCGGTCCATTAATGCCTATTAATCTGATACCAACGACTGAATCTGAAGACGGACAAACAACCACGCACACAGTAAAAAGCATTAAAATATAATGAGAGAGTAATGTAAACAGGAATTGGCAACTCAATCGTAAAAGAACTTCTCTACAGACGAATATGCCCTGGAGGCTGTTCCTGGTTTAAGCCTGATAACATCGTAAAAGCGGTGTTAATTAAATCAGATTTCTCTCTGGTAATACAGATTTTTAATCATTCCTTTAGACTTGTATCTGATTCCTTCCAATTCTAACCCCTTTCCTGTCTGACGTTTCAGTGGCATTTGCAGCTGTGCACGATAAGACTGGCACATTCATTAACGAGAGCTTGTTATAAAAAAATTATTTCGCCAAGTTTGAGAGACGTTTAATAAGACAATTTTAATTTCTGTTCAAGGCAAGAGCCAGGAAATACATAATGGAAAATCTGTGGTCAGAAAAATAGTGTTATGCTTGCATTAAAACCAGACGTCCGTACCTTTGCCCTATGAAAATAACTGCAGATTCTAACTATTCTTAAAACATTAATTTAAGTTGGCTTATTTTTGGTTTGGTCATTACTAATACGGATAAATTAAAAGCCAACTATTTTAAATTCAATCCTTCAGTCCCTTTGTGTAAAGTTAAGAGAGGAAGTCATTGACTGTAGTTGCGCAAACTGGGTTAGACAGAGTGCCGGAAATTAAACGAAAATTAAACAATTAAAACATAAAGACAGGCAAATTATATTAAGTGTGTAATCAAAAGTATTTACGTCAAGGTCCTCATCCTTCAAGGCTTCCAGAGATTTACTGCAGAACTAAAAACGATCCCAATTGCTTGTCCAGGAATTGAAACCAACCAAATGCAATACAATCATGTGACGTAAAGTTGAATAAGGGTCGAAGAAAGTTTCCTTACAGCAGTACAACCAAAGCAAATATCTTAAATGTGATGCTATCGTCCAATATAAGTGTTAAAATTCGCCTACAAAATTACATAAAATAAAAACTGTCATCAACATAAGACCTGTTTGCGTCTTAGAATCCTTAAATTAGAAGCAATTGATAAGGGTTTCATAAAAGTTAATATGAACGCAATACCACTGAAGCCCTTCTCAGAAGAATACCTTACGATTTCCTACCGAAACGTAACAAAATGGCGAATACGCGAATTTATATAGTAGAAACAACGGTAACGTCATTTAATGATTAATAAACTGGTTAAACCATTATACAAAACATCTCGATCATACATCGAACTACAAGGCAGAGAGACACCACAGGCGAGTCACGAATTGTGGGTGGTTGGTCGGATACGATGATTGAAGGCGAACGAACAATTTTAAGTCCCTGGTGGGGTTCGAAGACACCAATGCGAAATCAGAGGGCGTAATTACCTCGCCTCAAAGTCCATGCACGCTTCGATCAGCAACTCCATCCCTCTGATAATATAATATACCTTTTATGACGTGCAGTGAATTTTAGAGTTGTTTCTGAAGGACAAGACATGAATTATTAAAACTAAGAAACCTCTCCTCCGTCTGACAAACACTTGTAAAAGTACGTAACTTCGTGTACTTCATACCCGTAAAATTCAAAGAGAGAGAAAAGCAGCTTTAATATTGATGGTTGTCTTCTGGGTTGTTGTGCCGTGTAGTCTGGTAAATGTTTACCAAGGTTTCGGAGTACTTTCTGCCTCCATCATCAGGGCGATGTTGATGGAAGCAGCAAGTACCAAAATCACAAAAAACATTTAATTAATTTATTTCCTGTTTATGAGTTATTATATTCGGAAAAACATAAACATGCTAATACGATAAGCCACAGTATAAATATTTACGACGCTGTATTATCCTGACGATTAAATTTATTATTTATTCATTTAGTCTTATGTCTGACGACAGGTCCAGGATTACAAGGCCAGCGTTCTAACCGCTAGGCCACCGTGGCTAGACGATTAAATACGAAAGAAAATATTATACACGGTATTAATAAGTGGATATGTTCGTAGAACCTTACCTCATTCCATACATACAAATTTCTATTAATGTGCGTCAGATTTATATCAGCATTCGAAGAGCAGAGCGTGCTGTATTTTATCAACAACTTCTGAGCCAAACACCGACAAAATCACGCATCAAAAAATTTCTGCGTATTTTAATAAGGACGAGGTTTTTTTGAAGTTTCTATTCAAGCGAAATAACTTAAAAATGTAATCGGTATTTTTAATAAAGTCGCTTACAGTATTTTTTTTTTACTATCAGATAAAAAACACGACTGAGGTGAATTTGAAGTTCATAAAACAGAACTACCCAGACACGTGAGACGTGATCCCACTGGAAGAGGAAACTGAGAATTCCCTAAGGACGAGACGAGGATGAATCGATTGAAACTTCATTAGCTTCATTTCCTGAGGCACAAAACGGTAATCGAAACAACGATTTCCAGAGAGGAATCTTAGCTTCTGACCTCTTTTTCTCTTTCTTATGGGTTCATTTCCATCACGCGTGTTCACTGAACCTTTATACAAAACCAGTGACCATACATAAAGGCATATAAGATAATATATAAGAAAGATAACATTTCAAATCATAAACGCATTAAAAACGCATGATGCATTCCTACCGTGAAATGCAAAAGACACATAACCACATGAGTCACGCAGTGTTCCTTCAACAATTTGTAGGTTGTATAATCGACACGAGATCAAACAAATTGTGTCAGTGAACGAAAGTGTATGAAAACATCGGATACTTACCAATTATTCTTGTAAATAATAAATCAAGCTTAAAGTAAACAGTGCGTTTCATAAGTGTTGTTTCTTAGTTTTTTACGAAAGAAAGTCTCTCTCTGGACTCGTGGTTTTGCTAATGACCGCTATCAATTAAGAATAATGTTTGACGGCATACGTAATAGGATATGAGATGTCTCCGATTTACTGAGGGGCGCAGTAATCGATATCAAAAATCTGTTTCCTCTACTACGCCGCTTGACAGAAAAAAACACAATTAAACACCGCAAAGCTGTGGGGGGGGGGAGCAGATGAGGAGGGGGAAATAGCAATGAGTAACAGAAAGTGTTTAGTCGTTAAAAGGAAATGAAACGCGGAAAAAGTAGCCAGTTGTAAAACAGAAATTCTTCCATCTGCTGTACGAACTCTAACTACGAGAATTTTCAAACTGAAATAAATTAAATCTCGGATTTAAAAAAAATTCTTAGAACAAGGTCAGAGAATCGGTAAGGCAACGGGATTGAATATATCTGGTTAAAACTGATGACTAATTATTGAAGAAACTGTATGAGTTACAAAAGTTCAAAAGTTTAATTACTTTTAACATTTTATGATCTGTAAGGTAGTGGTGTTTCTACTTTCCTACCTTAAAAATCCATTCATTGCCGAATTATCTCAATAGAAATCTGGGAACAAAAAATCTCGAAGGTCTGCAAATTGGCGTCATCAGTACAGAACACTTAATTCCTCAGCATGGGTGGACCGAATACACCCTTTCACCGCTTGTCGACTTTTGAGCCAAAAACGTTCTGTGAACACAAAGAACATAGTTTGCAAGTTAGAGAACGTGAAATATTTGCAATTTTATAAAACACAAAAGCCCATATTACAATGTTTACACATTCCGGGTAGTCTAATGAAAGCAAAATTATGTATAAAAGCGTTTACCTGAACAAGGAAAGAAGCAATGAATAAACAAATAAAATTAACGTGAATATATCGCAACTAAAACAAAGTTTCTAGTAGCTCATGGAGTCAAACGTCAGACGCACTGAATGACGCAGAATGAGGTTCTTTATACACGCCTCAACGCTACAGAAATGCGGATCGTACTGGACGCCTAGCGACCCATGAATGTTAAAACCGATTAAATAAAGTCATTTTTACTGAAAGAGTTAGATACATAACTGAGTCTGTAATTCTAGAAGTTTATAATCGGAGGTGGCAAGAATTCCTGTATAGGCGCAGTTCCAGGAACTATAATTCCATGAGCTTCCGTTAAAAGGGTTGCGATGACGCTCGAGCCCTGAAGCCGTAGGCAGTTTTTTCCTCCGAAATGTCAGCACCCACGCACAAGAGTATACATATCGTCGCAGCCCAGAAGAACGCCATGGGCATTTCTGTATTATCTCTTTCGTTCCGAATTCCACTTATGATTCTAGCGTAAAAACGCTAGGAAATGGCTAGCTTTAAAATCGCAACATAACTGCAGACGGACTCAGACATTCCACACTGCTGCTTCGTTTTCTATTGAATTTCCGAAAGAACACCGATCCGTCTTCAGGTTTCTATTACTGAGTCCCTCGTAACTTTGTCATCAATAATGCCAATATGGTGGCCGTGCGAAAGTGTGATACGTGACAGCATCCTAAATGAAAGGTTTTTAAGTTTCACATGGTGTTTCATGGATTATATATATATATATATAAGAAATTATACAAGTTTTACTATGATTTTGATTTAATAAAATGATAATAATATGGAAATCATGAAATATAAATGAATTGAAACTTCGGGTTCCATAAAACGAGGGCTTCTTTTCATTCGCTGAGAGACTATTTGCTACCCTTCACGGACTCCTGCTCCGTGTAATTAGTTACTGAGAGCAAACTTGGTTGTGATCATAAGAACTTGTCACTGAATCATGATGAGTAAGTCCAATCCATTAGTATGTTTACAGTCTACTTAACCGGGATTCATTTCAATACTGCCTCCACGTCTGAGTCTGTCAACTGGATTGATTTACAATATAACAAACCAAATAATTCCCTGAGCAGTTTTACAGGTATCTATCTGTTCAAAAACACCAAAGATCGCTAGTGGCTTCACAAAATTCTCCCACATTTGCCAATAGTTGAGCTTCATCAACCGAATTCATACCCAAATACACTTTAATATTATCCTACTATCAGCGTGAAGTCTCTTATTCAGTCTGCCTATCTATTGTACAGTCTATGTAGGAAGTTCTGGATAAAATAAACAGCAGAAACTGTATATTGTTCGTGCTTATATATCGAGTTTATTCACATGATCAACGTTAATTTTGAAATTAAAGTGTTCTGAATTCATTTATAAAATTATTTACCCGATTCTGTGATGCCTGGTCGGTGTGGTCAAATGTAATTGCACCGCTATATCCCAAATTTCCCTCAAATAGCTTCGATCATTGACGACAAACCACATCGAATGATACGTTTCCAATAAGAGCGGAGGAAATAAAGGATAATTAATTGACTCGAAATTAATTAACTGTTCTTTAAACATGTGACATTTGGAATTTATACCGTTTCATTTGATGTGAAATATTAATGTTTAATGTTTGTGACTTGAAATGACACTAATTACAAATTCAGCTGGTCTAATCCATATAGAGTCTACTCTTCGATCAGTAAAAATCATTTCAGAATTACATCAATTTAATCGATCCTCATTCACTTTATGGTTGAAAGATTAACGCCTCTAAAAAAGAAATTCAAACCCACTGTTTGCTAACACCTTTAATCAAAACGAATTCCTGCCCACTAATAAAACCGATCCCGCAGGTAGGAGGCTCCGGGGGCTTCTTCCCCGGTTTCTCCGTGGCCTCCCAACCATTACTCCATTCACACACAGAAGAAGGCAATTGCAAACCACTTCTGGATCATCTGCCAAGAACGTATATGAACAGGTCCCAGTCCGAGAAAAGGATGGAAGGATCCTGTTCATATGGACCTGTCGTCAGACAGAACACTAAATAAAAATAACGGTAGCTTAGCTGGCCAAGAAATTTTTCATTTTTTACATAGAACGGAGGTCGCGATTTCACGTCCTCTCAGCAACGAGTCTGAGTTGCACGGTGGAGTCTGGCGAAGTTTACCTACGTTTCAGAGGTACTTGATGCCTCCATCATCACTGCCCTGATGTTGGAGACAGCAATCATCATAACCACGAAGTCGTAAGTGTGGCACCGGCACTAGAAATGTGTAATTATCCGATTAACATGTCCTAATTACGATATGTGAGTTTTGTTTTTGGATTCAGATATTTCAATAAGCTAATTCTAATGACAATAACAGGTTAAACGAAATGTTCACGCATGAAAAAATATTACCTGGAAATGAATATCAAAATACATACAAAACACTGGTCACGTGATGATATTATTATTGTAACGTAATTCATAGTTCTATAGCGTTTGTCAGCTGATATGCTGATTCGCAACTACAGCATTTCAGATGCACTCAGCGAATTTGTGCTACAAAAAGTGATATAAAATTTTACCTAGGTAAATTTAGAGTTCAGAGTGTCGCTGTTTCTCGCTTGTTTGATTTAAAGTTAACTATTTTTTTCTGAATGAGGATTCATTGTTTGATTTAACTGCGTGCTGTTTACACAAAGCTCGGAACCAGTGTACTATGCATTCACTCTCCGGGGCCCATTTGTAAAATGGATGTGAAAGAAAGGGTTTCTGTTTCGGTTGGCGTCAGATTATCGTGACATGATCAAAGTGTCAATTTTTTATTAAAAGTTATTTGTACGAACACCGAATGGATTTTGAAAAGTAAATGACCTTTTGTGGTCAATTATCGAGTTGGATTTTAAATCAATTTTTTTCTCTTTCAGTAATGTACCACACCTGGCGTCCTGGCGTGATATAGGACATTACATGTAATGCACCAACACGGAGTGAATGTGAAAATAAAATGGACTGTAAGGGATTAAGCACAGAACATCGTATATATCGCTATCAGTGACTATTTGCTGATAAATAAGTTCCAAAAAAGAACTTGATCATTTATATAGTTCGTTAATCAATAAAGTTGAACGCAGGGACGGCTATAGCACAGATAAGTTGATTTTATTGTTTTTCATGGCGCGATACTCGACTCGTGCCAGTAAAACCTTGCAGCGATCGGCGGCGAGTCAACAACTTCCGGCCTGGAGCCGGAAAGTGACAGTTGCGGTCCATTTTATCAGTGGACGTTCTTTAATCTACTCTTACATAACAACCA